CACCTACGCTCGGTTCGCAATAAACAACTGCACCTCCCAGTTGCGAACCATTTCAACTCCCCCTCCCATTCCTCAGACAACATGTCCATCCTGGGCCTCCTGCAGTGCCACAACGATGCCACCCAAAGGTTGCAGGAACAGCAACTCATATTCCGCTTGGGAACCCTGCAGCCCAATGGTATCAATGTGGATTTCACAAGTTTCAAAATCTCCCCTCCCCCTACCGCATCCCAAAACCAGTCCAGCTCGTCCCTGCCTCCCTAACCTGTTCTTCCTCCCACCTATCCCCTCCTCCCACCTCAAGCCGCACCTCCATCTCCTACCGACCAACCTCATCCCGCCCCCTTGACCTGTCCGTCCTCCCTGGACTGACCTATCCCCTTCCTAACTCCCTACCTACACTCAACCTTTACTGGCTCTATCCCCGCCTCTTCGACCTGTCTGTTTCCTCTCCACCTATCCTCTCCTCTATCCATCTTCTATCCGCCTCCCACTCTCTCCCTATTTATTTCAGAACCCCCTTCCCCTCCCCTATTTCTGAAGAAGGGTCTAGGCCCGAAACGTCAGCCTTCCTGCTCCTGTGATGCTGCTTGGCCTGCTGTGTTCATCCAGCTCTACACCTTGTTATTTCTGTCAATTATAGCCTCAGTCCAGTGAGCTTTAGGACTGGAATATTGTTTGGTCCAAGGGCAATTCAACAGAAAGGCACAGGAAGTGACCCTGGGATCAGACACTGCAAAGCCCTGGATAGATATAAATGACTGACAGCTAAGTGATCAATATTAACTATTTCTGATATCTGGCCACACCCTGCAGGAAATGCTCACTCGGCAATTTAACCGCGAGCTCACCTGAATGTAGCACACAGCAACAGGAGTAGGCCATTCGGCCACTCGAGCCTCTTCCACCATTTATTGAGATTGAGGCTGATCTATGGTCTAACTCCATACACCTGCCTTTGGCCCATATCCCTCAATATCTGCTTTTGGAGTGGCTTCCTTATGAGTCACGGGCGCACTTTCCCCGAATAATTGGAAACATACAATGCAGTCCAGGAGAGATTTTTATATGGTACTAAGGAGAGTGTCTGAGACAAAAGTCATAGCAGTGAAAGAAGGATAGGCTTGTTGTCTTTCAATTCTCTCCAATTCATCTGGGTGCTGGGCAATAGCAAAGGCGTCCCTCATCTGTGAGGCTATCGTTCGAAGTCAGTACAAAAACAATAAATATAAGGACAACAAAGACATGGTTTTGGATTTATGTTAACCACAGAGTAAACATCTTCATAAAGGATGATTTTAGTTTTGCATAACAGTTCTCTGTACCTACAGAAGTGTTAGTTCAATGCTTAATGTTTGATCGATATGTGTAATAACTCAGGAAGTCTGACTAGAAAGGAACATACAAATCTACTTTAAAACTTTAGGAACATTGTTTATTGTTAAACACCGAATTACAACCTGTTTTTGTGATGTACACTGGCCAGTCCCAGCACAGGATGAACAGTTCTGCAGACCTTTTCTTTTTAGCTTTTTGATTAAATATCCAGACGGGCTATTGCACAGAACCAAATGTTTTATCTCCCCATCACCAAATCACTGACTTGTTTGTTTTTAAACTATGAACTGCCACAGTAAATCGACCACATAGCCAACTAAACATTTACATGCAAATCCCATCAAAAGTAAGGGATGGGGTAGGGAGAACGGGAAGGGGCAGGTTTGGTTTGCTTTATGGGACTATTCATCCTTAGGGAAGATGGGCTATTCGGCATCTCCCTATAGCTCAAACCCTCCAACCCTGGCAACATCCTTGTAAATCTCATCAGAACCCCTTCAAGTTTCACAACATCTTTCCTATAGCAGGGAGACAGTCCTTAGACCAATCAAGATATTGTTGCTAACACGAGCTGCTTCAGTACACAGCTCTAGACAGTCTGCAATCTGATGTTTAATAGCAGCTCGGTCAAACAGATGTTTACCATGCCTGCCAGAATGATCAGCTTATTTGCTTTTCAAACTGCAGCCCTCTTTCAAACACTGTGTTTCAGAACAGTTCTTTCTCATATCAGAACACTGGCATGTAAAAATGGAAAAAATAAAAGGCACGGTCCTTACACACTCACTGGCTTTCATCAACGGTAGATGTGATAAAATTTTTAAAATTTTTCTTCACTTCAGGTTAAAAAATGTCCTAAAACATTCATATATTTATAAAAATATGGACACATCATTGATTTATTGAAGAATCATGTTGGCAGGTGCTGTGCTGTGACAATGGGACCATAGAGTTCTAGAGTCCTACAGCATGCAGACAGGCCCTTCGGCCCAAACTGCTCCATGCTGACCCAAAATGTCTATCCACGCTAACCCCATTTCCCTGCACTTGGCCCATATCCTTCTAAACCTTTCCTATCTATGCATTCGTCCAAATGCCTTTTAAATGTTGTTAATGTACCCACCTCAATCACTTCTGCTGGCAGCACATTCCATATGCGTACCACCCTCTGTGTAAAAATGTTATCCCTCAGGTTCCCATGTATTTTTTCCCCCTCTTAAACTGATGCTCTCTAGTCCTTGATTCCCTAAACCAGGGAAAAAGACAGAATGCGCTCACCCTATCCATGCCTCTCATGATCTCATACACTTCTATAACATCCCCCCCAACCTCAGCTCGAAAGAAAAAAGATCTGAGCTTGTCCGACTTCTCCCTGTAACTCCGTGCCTTGAGTCCTGGCAACATCCTTGTAGATTTCTTCTGCACTCTTTCCAGTTTAATAACATCTTTCCTATAGCAAGGTGACTAAAAGTGAACACAATACTCCAATCGCGGCCTCGCCAACGTCCTGTACAACTGCAACATAACCTCCCAACTTCTGTACTCAATGCCCTGACTGATAAAGGCCAGTGTGCCAAAAGCCTTCTTCACTGCCCTGTCTACCTGTCACTTTCAGAGGCCCGTGCACCTGAACTCCAAGGTCCCTCTGTTCCACTACACTCCTTAAGGCCCTACCATTCACCATGAAACTCCTACCTGGATTTGACTTTCCAAAATGCGACACCTCACGCTTATCTATATTAAACTCCATTTGCCGTTTCTCGGCCCACTTCCCCTGCTGCAATTTCTGATAACCCTCCTTACTGTCCACGATGCTGCCTATTTTAGTGTCATCTGCAAACTTCCTAATCAAATAAAACAAGTCATCATCATTCATGACACAGTCTATAATTATTGTAAAAACAAAAAGTGATGTGTGTGTTTTGATCTTACTCACCTGTAAGGTCACTGGCTTCTGCCGAGAGAAATGCACTCCAGGATAACAGGAAAAAAATCCCAGTCTCCAGCATTGGGAATTCAGACAGTTTGGTGAATTTCGTTAAGTATTCAAAGTGTACGTTAAGGATAATGAATGACAATGTAAAATATAACGCTGTCTTTGTCTCACCGAATTTGGGCTTGTCACATGAGGACAGGTTGAGGACTCTGGGTCTGGACTTAATGGAGTTTAGAAGGTCGAGGGGTGATCTTGCCGAAACTTACAGAATACTGAGGGGCCTGGATAGACTGGATGTGGAGAAGATGTCTCCATGACCAGGTGAGACTCAGACCCGAGGGCACACCCTCAGAGTGAAGGGATGATCCTTCAGAACTGAGATGAGGAGGCATTTCTTCAGCAAGGTGGTGACTGTGTGGAACTCATTGCTACAGAGGGCTGTGGAGGCCAAGTCATTGAGTGTACATACAGAGATAGATAGGCCCTTGAGTAGTAAGGGGAGCAAGGGTTATGGGAGAAGGCAGGAGTATGGGATTGTGAAACATATCAGCCATGATTGTACAGTGGAGCAGACTCGATGGGATGAATGGCCTAAGTCTGCTCCTCTATCTTGTGGTCTCATTCCATCACTCATCCCACCTCACTCATTGGGCCACAGTTTCCATGAATGGCAGTTGATCATGGTCCAAATGGCCCTTAGGCACTTTGAACATCGGCCATGAACGTCAGCAGACTATCCAACTGTGAAGGGCATCACACAGGAGGCCAATCCTTCTGCCACATGGCAATTTCACTTTCACATTTACAGTGTGAACATGGTGTGATTTTCCCATCCTTGAACAGGTGCCATTCTCGTTTGACCATAAAGACTGGGAACCAAATGAGGAATCCTCCTATAAGACCATACAGTGTATAGGCAAAAGTAGGCCATTCAGCCCATCATGTCTGCTCCATCGTTCAATGAAATCATGGCTGATTGGATAATCCTCAAATCCAGTTTCCTGCCTCTTCCCCATAACTCTTAATTCCCTTGCTGATTAAAACTCTATCTAAGCCTTGATGACCCAGCCCCAACAGCCTTCTAAAAGAATTCCACAGATTCACACACTTCATGTGAACAAACTCCTTATCTCTGTTTTAAAAGTGTGAGTTTATGTCCTCTGGTTCCAGACTCTCCCGCAAGGGGAAACAACCTTTCCACATCTACCATGTCAAGCCCCTTAAGAATCTCGTCTGTTTCAATAAGGTCATCTCTCAGTCTTCTACATTCCAAAAAGTACAGGCCCAAGCTCTTCTCATAAGCCAGTTCCTCCATATCTGGTATCAGCCAAGTGATCCTTCTCTGGATGCCTCCAATTCCAGGATATCTTGCCGTAGATAAGAGGCCCAAAACTGTTCACAGTATTCTAGCTGTGGTCTGATCACTGTCTTGCATAGTTTTAGCAAAACATCCCTCCTGAGCCATTGAATAGTATATGGGTGAGTTCTGTGCTTTCGTACCTCTAACACACTCGCTATTCTCACATAGGTGGTGACAGCAGACCTCTGGGCCATAAAACTAAAATTAACCCGACAGGGTCCTCTTGTAGTGCAGTGGCAGTGTCCCTACCTCTGAGCCAAGAAGTCCAGCTTCAAGTCCAGAGGTATATCGTAACATCTCACCAATTTTTATAGATGCACCAAAGAGAGCTTTCTATCTGGATGCATCATGGCTTGGTAAAGCAACTGCTCTGTCCAGGACCTTTAAGAAACTAGAGAGTTATGAACACAGCCCAATTCACCACACAAGCCAACCTTCCATTGATACTTTTTGCTGGCTTGGAAAGGCAAGCAAACATCAAAGGTCATGCCCCCCCAACCCTCAATTATAGTCTCTTCCTACCTCTCCCCCCAGAAAGATACAAAAGCTTAACCACACATACCAACAGGTTAAAGAACAGCTTCCTCCCTGCTGATAGTAGACTTCTGAATGAACCTCTTAAGTTTCAAAGATAATGTTGATCTTGCTTTACGTGCACCTTCTTTGCAACTGTACTCCTTGCTCTGTTCAATCAACTTACAATCTTTATATGTTATGATTTGTCTGTACTGCACGCAAAATAAAACTTTTCACTGCACTTAGGTACATGTGACAGTAATAAATCAAATCAAATCTCTGAAGAGGTTGATTAGAAAATATTTAAAGTTAATCCAACCATCGCCCTTTGTGCATAGTCCAGCAGAGGCCATTTTTAATAAAATGATGAATGTGAACAGCTATACTGTACAATGCAGGAGACGAGCAAATATGAGCTGAGAGAGAGTTAAGTCAGAAAGTCTGGTCTGTGAAAACTTTCTCTTGTTACATTTTAAATTCCTAGCCTCGGAGTTTTTCTTCCAATTCCAACAGAGCAGTGTTCTTTTCTGACTGAAGGATTGACTTGCAGCTGCCAAGATGAAAGATTTAAAAAGCTTGTAGACTATACGGGAGAGTGGATAAGATAGAAAGGTTTTTGGCTCACAGGTATTGATGAATTAGAATAGGGGGAGATATCAGCTCTGAATGTCAACATGGCTCAGTACAGAGTGGAGCTGAAGGAACACAGCAGGTCAGGCAGCATCAGAGGAGCAGGAAAGTCGATATTTCGGGTTTACACACTTCATCAACTTTCCTACTGCTCTGATGCCCTGAAATGTTGACTCTCCTGTTCCTCTCTTGCTGCCTGACCTGCTGTGTTCCTCCACCTCCACACTGTATTGACTCTGACTCCAGCATCGGCAGTTCTTACTATCTCCATGTCAACATGACTTAGCGAAAGAGAAAAAAAGCATGTATTGGAAACTTAAAACAAGCGACAGGAGAAAGATCAGTTGAGCATAAATTGGGAGAAAGACTGCAAATAATCAAGAACGAGAATTCAAGCTAATGTACTCCTCCCGAGCCCTGTGATTACAACACCAATTGTATTGTCCTTTCTGCAGCAGTGACAACCATTCACCAAAACCCTAGATACAAGCTGCAGCCTTTCTAGTTAATTATTTATTGTAAAACCATGGGGCTCATTTACCACAGTTCCTGCTGAAGTTAATCACGTATTCTAACTTTAAAACTTACATTCGTTTTTTTTTCTCCTCCTTTAAACTATTCTTGACTGAAGTAACACATGCCCTTTTACTTTAGGGGCGGCACGGTGGCTCAGTGATTAGCACTACAGCCTCACAGCGCCAGGGACTTGGATTTAATCCCACCCTCGGGCGACTGTCTGTGTGGAGTTTGCACATTCTCCCCGTGTCTGCGTGGGTTTCCTCCATGTGCTCCGGTTTCCTCCCACAATCCAAAGATGTGCAGGTTATGGTGGATTGGCCATGGGAACTTGCACATAGTGTCCAGGTTAGCCATTGGGAATGCAGGGTTCCAGGGATAGAGTAAGGGGTGAGACTGGGCGAGGTGCTCTTCAGAGGGTCAGCATGGACTCAATGGGCTGAATGGCCTGCTTCCCCCACTGTAGGGATTCTATGATTCATTTATGACACACAGATGTTGTTCCAAACGAATATCCTCAAGCTGATGTAAAGCAGAGTATCATTTCCTAGGTGCATTCACAATTCCTAAATGTCATTTATCTTCAAGTCTTCCCACTAATAATAGTGCAATGAGAACATATTGTTGAAAATGAGTGTGTCTCCTGTACATCTCGAACTGCTCATCTCTGTCCTCGGAGTTGGCCACAGTTAGCTCATGGTTTTCATTGAATTTGAGTGTTTTGTTAGAACTGTTATATTGCTACGCCAAAATATTGACCTCATTCTCTGTCTTCTCTTCTCTTACTAATTCTGAGAAGGTTAATCTTATTGCTGGTGATTATTTGATCAAAACGTTCAATAACCAAACATCAAAAGCTATGTGAACACTAACATAAAGATACAGGAAAGCACCTCAAATCTGTAAAAAAGTCATTCTTGTAAAGTACTATTAACTATTACAGTTTTGAAAGACTTCAATCTTTTGTTGAGCTTTCTGAATACTAATTTAAAGTGGAAGGCCTACAGAGATTAGTGTTAGGGACCATCACTCATCAACCTAGCTCTGAGAAAGGGTCACCAGACCCAAAACGTTAAGCCTGATTTCTTTTTCTTCACAGATGCTGCCAGACCTGCTGAGCTTTTCCAGCAAATTCTGTTTTTGTTCCTGATTAACAGTGTCCGCAGTTCTTTCAGTTTTTAACTGCTGAGAAGATGTTTCTCCTCATGGGAGAGTTCAGAGGGCACTGTCTCAGAGTAAAAGGGCACAACTTAAGATGGAGATGAGGAGGAATTTCTTCTCTCAGAGGGTTGGGGGTCTTTGAAACGCCTTGCAACAGAAAGCTGTGGGGGCAGAAACCTTGTGTATATTTAAGGCTGAGGTAGATAGTTTCTTGATCAGTCTTGAACCAAGGGTGACAAGGAAAGAGCAGGAAAGTGGGAGCAAGGAATGTCAGATCAGCCATGATCCTACTGATGTGTAGATGTCGGTGTTGGATTGGAGTGGACAAGGTCAGAAATCACACAACACCAGGTTATAGCCCAACAGGTTTGTTTGAAATCACAAGCTTTCAAAGCGCTGCCCCTTCATCAGGTTACCTGATTAAACCTGCTGAGTGAGATAACCTGATGAAGGAGCAGCGCTCCGAAAGCTTGTGATTTATAACAAAGCTGTTGGACTATAACCTGGTGTTGTGTGATTTCTGACCTTGATCCTATTGAATGGTAGAGTAGGCTTGAAGGGCTGAATGGCCTACTCCTGTTCCTATTTCTTATATGGTTAACAGTTTAGCTGAAAATAATGATGGAATTGTCCACAGGTTTGGCGATATTGCAAAGATCTGTGCAAGTGTTAGAATCCTGAAGGGGAAAAGAATGACTACAGTCTGATCCGGATGCAGTGGAAGATTAGACTGAGTCTAGCAGCTGATATTTAATGCAGATCAATGCAGTGTCATGCAAATGAGTGAACATGTGCAAAGTCAATGCATACATGCAGCATTCTAAACTGAAGCATGTTCGTCAGGAAGGAAAACCTTGGTGACATAGTTTATAAATCTCAAAGTTTGAAACTTTTTCTATAAACCATCACAGCAATAATATGTT